CCTTAAGGACTTCGATTAGGACTTTTTCCTCCAGAATCCTTGAGCAATATCATGCTTGGGCAGACCAAGTATTTGTGCTTCTTGGTAATGGACCAAACCTTGAAAGAATCTATTAACACAGAGATCTGTAGTAAAGGGCATCTTGGAAGACTTACGGTAGTGGCACTGCTATGTTGCTGGCTTGCCCATTACTTCCAGAAAAAAATATTGCATGCTCTATTCCTCTTCATTTTCAGCTCTGCTGGCTCTGCTTGTGCTTTTAATTTCAATGACAGCTCAAAGCCAAACATCTTTGCTTCTTGGCTCTGTACATTAATGATGTCTAAAACCTACACAAACACCACAGCATATAAGGAGAGTCACCTTGTATAGTTTTGTTTTTTTAAGAAGTCAGACCTTAGAGATTTTCTTCCACTTCTAGGACTCTTCATTCAAATAATGCAGTCCACTACGGACTGATACGGCCGAGGAGACATGGAGGCTGTCAGCATCACCTGGCACTGCACAGAGATCAGGATGGTGGCATCAGGATGCTGTGACCTCTGGCTGAAACTGGAAGTAAGCTGATGTGATGGAACACTGTCCTGGCATAAGAATAGCTGCCTCCAAAGCCTTCCATTACTCTCTATGTTCTTCTGAAGGGAATGGTTTAATACCATGGGCAAAGATTTTCTTATAGGTCTTCAAGTACCACAACTGTTTTTTTCTTTTCTCTTTTCTGATGTATAAGGAAATGTCTTGAAAAGTGAGGTTTTCAGACTGTCTGGAGGAAAGCTCATCTTTTTGCCATCTGCTTAAGCCATACCAAACACAGCCGGGGTTGTGTTCCTGGATGGCGTGCAGCAAGCAGGCACTACAGGTGTCAGGCATCTGCACTTGCTGGAGGACTTCTTGGAGTTCTCTGATGGGTACTGGGATTGTCCTCTCACTGTAAGGTGAAGGCCTAAAGTTATTACATTTTAATCAATGTCAAGTTTTCTTGGAGTGCTGTGATTTTCTACAAAAAAATTAAATATATCCTTGGTTGGGGCGAATCCATGTGGTTCCACTGACTGTCTTGCAGTGTCTTGCAGCAAAGCTAGGTTTCTGCCAGCGGGGAAGCCAGCTTCAAGAACTTAAAGGAGCCTGCCTAGGATTCACTCTCCTCTCCTTCGTCTTTTGATGACAGGTTTTGACTCCTGTTTCCATTCTGCAAATAGCCAACAAGTCCTGGGCCAGGAAAAACTGGAATTCCTGTGATAGCTCAGATGAGATCATAACTTCGAGCCAAGCTCTGCAGATGTTTGGGGCTTTGAATTGAATAATCCAATAACAGATTTACTTATTGCTGCTCACTTCAGATTCAGTGGTTAAGATTGTTTCCAATCAGCCACCTGATCAGCATCAACTAGGAGGCATGACCAGCCTGCCTCATCTGTTGAATCTGGAGTTGGAGAGCTGGGCAGGTCCATGACACAGGACAAAGCATTCTTTGTGGAGTAAATTTTTCTTCTCTAAAAATATATATATATTTTTTCCCTGATCCTTTGTTTTTCTTGTTACCGAGGCGTGGAAAGACAAAAAGAAGAAAAAAATAATAACTCCAGATTGAGCAGAAAACAGGGAGTAAAATTAGCTGAGGAACTTCCAAACAAGTGTGTATGTGTACACACAGGAGAGCTTGGTTTTGTTTACTATTTGTTTTGAATTTCCATTCTTTGCCCTCAGATCAAGCTCCAGGAGAAGGGAGAGCCTGGAATGAGGTCTCGGATGTCTGCAGCTCTGAAAAGCTGTGAGAGGAACCCCAGTGAAAGGCTGAAGTAGCAGATGCATGACACTGAAACAAAGGCATGTGCAACACTTTCAGTGGCTTTTTGCTCTAGAATCCTTGCTTCCTGACAGTTTTATTCCCTTTGTAATTACTGAGAAAGGTGGTAACCAAGGAAAGGCCAGTATCTGTTAACCTCTTCAGTGCTGTGCATCTGAGTAGTGGCTGTCATCTGCATCACAGGAGAGCCTAGAGGCTGAGACCAAGTGCTCTGTGCTGATGTGTGCATTGTAAGACTGAAGTCCTTATTTGACAGATATAACAGAAGCACAGGACTCACAAAGGAAGTGCAAGAGCTCTCACGTCAGTGTTAAGTAAAATCTTGCCTAGATGATTCCTTAACAATGAATTGATACACTTTCAGCATGCTAATGATGCCATTGGGGCATTGGAGAAATAAGCAGCCTGTGTGGGTAAAATGTTCTATCAACTCCAATAACCAGATTTTTGCATTTTTTTTTGTTTGCAGACTGCTTATTTTCTGGTCCTGGTGACTGCTGAAACCAAGTTCCACATGTAGATCACTGCCTGGTTTGAAGCCATGTGGTTGTTCCAATGTTCTCTGTCCTGTAAACATCTCCTAGAACATGGCATACCACTTCATCTGTCTCTCATTAAGTAGAGAATGTGATTACTATTATGCACGGAGTTGTCAAACCAGTCTGGTGTTTGCAGACTTTACCAAGGATCAGGTGTCCTCCTTCACCACGATGCCATCCTCTTCTCAATAGTTGCCACTGGGAAAGCTAGGGAGTGCTTAAAAAAAAAACAAACAAATCAAACATACAGTTCACAAGATAAAGTACCAAAATACAGGTGTAGTGCGTGTCAGGGAATTATTTAAAGTGTCTGAAGTTTGAAACACTGAAGTTAAAGTGTCAGCTGGGATCTGGCCTTGGCTTGGTCACAAACAGAACATGCGAAGTGCTCAGGAAAGGAGGCCTTGCTGTGGAATGCTAACTCCTCTGTGGCTGTTTCTTCCCACCTGGAGCTCCAGCAGAGGAAAAACTCAGTGAAGAGAATGAAGAGCTGAAGGGAACAAGTGCCGTTGCAGCACAATGCATTCTGGAGGGCCAGAATTGTTGTTAACTTCTGCTTGTTACACACACACACTTGTTGGTGCTGGTGGGATGGGACTGCTTCCCCTTCTATTTTGCAGCTCTTTGGTATCTCTCCTGAGACAGGTAACGGTAACACTATGTGTTTGTCACTGCCTGGGCTCCTCTGCTCTCACCCTTCTAGTGTTCACCTTGCCTTAGGAAAAAGTGTAGTGTGCTACAGAGCACAGATGTGCATACGTCCTTGTTGTAGAAGGAGGAGTGGGAGCTATCTGCCTTTCATAAGTGCAGATGTTTCCCTCTGAAGGTGGGACTTATGTCAAGTGCCCTTCAAACTGCTCAAGCTTACCTCCTGGTGGGGTTGTGTATTATGTCAGGGCTAACACTGTTGAGAGAAGAGTGTCTTATCATTTGCCAGTTTATTCTGATACCCTGTGTATGTATGTTGTCTTTAACCAGGCTGAATAAAAAGCAGAAAGGTCTGCTCATGTCATGGACTTACTGGTAAATGCTGATGCCTTTCAACCTGCTGCTGTCCTGCTTTGGGGGCTGGTTGCAGATGGCTCCTCTGATTAATCAGCTTTTCTTCCATGGCCCTCACCTGGAGTTTGGGAACATTTATCAATCATTAAGGTTGGAAAAGACCACTAAGATCACAAAGTCCAATCCCCAGCCCACCATGCCTGCTGACCATGTCCCTCAGCGCCACATCTCCATGGTTCCTGAATGTCTCCAGGCATGGTGACTCCACCACCTCTCTGGGCAGTCCATGCCAGTGCATCACAGCTCTTTCTGAGAAAATTTTTTCTTAGTATCCAACCTGAACCTCCTCTGGTGCAACTTCAGTTCCATTACCTCTTTTCCTATTGCTGGGATAATAGGCCGATTCCCACCTCACCACAACCTTCTTTTCAGGCTGTGGTAGATATGTAATTATGGTGAAGAAGAGCTCCCAGAGCCCTCCCACCATGCTGTGGGGAGGCCCTGCAGGGCAGTGCTATGTGATCTGGCGCAGCACTGCAAGCTCTATGAAGCTGTCTTGCTCCCCAGGGAACGCTCACATGCTCAGAGCAGCCGCGGCAGCAGCGAGGATAACCCCAGCGTGGGCAGGGGGCTGACTCATCTCTCCAGAAGAGGCAACACTGTTTATTAATTACTGCTCCTTTGAAGTGCGAAAATGGAGAAACTCTCTCATGGCCAATGTTGTGATTAACCATCTAATTGTTCTGCTGGTATGTTTGCTTAAGGGGCTTCCTTTGCTCCGTGTGCATTAAGAAATAGTTTCTCATCCTACCGTTGTTGCACCCAGATGATAGTCATTAGCAATGTACCAGACACATTGTATGTGTCTTGTCCTGATGTTGGTGTTGTTTTTTTTTTTTTTTCTGTCCCTTGGTCCATCTCTGTTGAAGTGACTTCAATGTTGGAGGGAGAATGACAGCTCTTCAGAGTAAACTCTTTTGTTCCCACAACACAGAGAGAATCTCTTTGTGGAAGAATCAATTCTTTGTCCCAGCCGGCAGATCCCTCGGTTTTCCATCTCAGGAGATGGTGCCACAGGTGATGGAGAGTGCTCACATCCCAAAGTCCCACCAGCCTGGGCTGCTGTGTGCTCAGCCCCCACTGAGGTGCAGAACCACAGCCTGTCCTACCAGCCCTGATGTTCTCATCCCAGATATTTACGGGTTAGAAATGGGGTTTGGAGGGGGTCGGCATACCCAGCTGTGGGAAAGTCTCCTCTTTGGTGCACAGAAGCAAAGAGGTTTTACCCAGGGGTTTCTTTGTGCCTCCTAGGCTTTGCCTGTCTTGCTTAAATGTTAGACTGAACTTAAATCTTGGAGCTTGGCAGATTCAGCATGGGTGAGAATCTGCTTGATCTGCAGTATGGAAAGAAAGGAGAGAAGGTTGCTTTACCTTTGCCTTGTTCTATATGTGTCTGTGATAATGGGAAACTCAGAATGTGTCTCAGCAAGCCAGACGTGAAAGTAAATGGTATCGGTAGCAGGCAGCTAGTGCTGGAAATTTTTGTCTGATCATTAATTCCAGGCCAGTTCCCATTGAATGTTCCATTACAGGTACAATTTCCACCGAAATGCATTTCAGGACCGTTTCAAACCTTTTTTTTTTTTTTTTTTTTTTTTTTTTACTGTATCCAACAAAGCAAAAGGAGGTTTTGAAATGACAAGTAGCTGAAAGCAAGGGAAGACTTGCACTTGCTCAGTCTTGCTGACATTGCCGTTCCCTTCTATGTATGGTAAGCATTGCAAAATCCAGCATTTCCTTCATGCTGCTCACGTGGAAGTCCATGCAAGCTTTACTGCTTGTCTTCAGATCCCATGAAACCTTAGATTTTCCCCTTCATTGTGCACTATGCAGTATCTTAGGCAGAAAGGTACTTTCCATGCACTGGGCAACTGTGTTGTGCTGCAGCACAGTGGCTCCTGCTGTGCCCAGTCCTGCAAGGCTGTGGGCTGCAGCTAGAGGGGGTGAGCAGGCAGAAGATAGTTTCTGCTAAAATTTCACATTTGAAACTTTTCATCTCACCCCCATTGTTTCTCCTTCCCCTGCTCTCAGTAGCACCTGCAGGCATATCTCCTTCTCTAGTAGATTTCTCCTGTGCACGTCTGCATTTCTAATACGCATGCAGGTATACAGACTGCACGTATGTGTATTTTATATGAGTGTGTATTTGTGCACGTGCAGCATATCTACCTATCAGCATTAGAAACTGTGATTTGTTGTGAGACAGTGCGAGGTCTCTGCTGGTGACTGAGGTTGGAGTGCCTGAAATGTTGTGCACACGTCATGAGTAAGTGGCCCTTTCTGCCGAGATCTCGCAGTCCAAGTGTATGATTAGGAACAACAGATGGATACCACAAACAGACAGGCAGCGTGGGTGGGGGAGGAGCACAAAATACCACCGAGATAATTAGGATGAATGATTAATGATTCGAATGGGTAAGAAGGGGCCAGAATGCTCTAGCTGAATATTGCTGCTGATGCCTCACAGGGACCTCGATGGAGGTGGACAAGAGATGCACTGTATTTTGTACTTGCTTGTTATCCAGGCTACTAATTTCCCTCTGAGTCCGTGTTTGTAGATGTTTGGCTCTAAGATTACACTGCAGCTACACTGTAAGGATGGTGTAACTTCAGTGTGTTCTGTATGGAATGCAGACCCAACTGTGCTGAAACACTAGTCCTTACAGGAATTTGGATCTCGTAGGAGCTGATCCAACACCCACTGGAGTCAGTGAGCTCTTGACCCGTATGGGATTTGGGACAGTCCCAGAATGTTCAAGTGGGCTTCAAACTGAGCTGAATAAGTGGGATATGCATTTAAAACGATAAGAAGAAACGCTTTGTATGAAACTCATTTAATATCTTTCTGTTTGCATGTACACATTTTTACTGTGTGAAATCAGACTGATTTTTTATCTGCTGCATCTATCTCAACATGTGGTGTATGTTACAGTGGACTGATCAGTTACATGATTAAAATACATGGTAAACAGATTCACAGCATGCTTAACACTGGTAGTTTTGTGTTTTTGCAATAATTTTACCCCAACTTTTTCTTTCATGAACTGTGATTTTGTTGTTGCCTCTTTGTTTGCCCTTGAGAGATTGCCCATTGCTTTCCTAAATCAGCTCAGTCTATTTCCTGAAGATTCTTCCACTGCTTTTATGGTAGCTGAGTGGCTTGTGAGTACTCAAGGTTGTCAAGCTTTCTCCCCACTTAAACAAATAGCACTGATGTTGAAAAGGATCACAAAACACCGTGCCTTTCGGCTGCCAGGGTCACCACCATATTATTGACTTCAAGAAACTGAGGGAAGGCAGGAGGAGGGAAATGGAAGGTGCCAAGTAAAGATTTCTTGCATCGTCACTTAGGGTTTGGTTCTGACTCTGGTCAATGAAAAAGCTTTTACTATGTGGCCAGGTGGCATCAAATGATCTGAAATTCCACTCCAAAGAGGGTCATGTGTGCACAACATTGGTCTACTCCCTCTGTATGTGAAGGGGTGCTCACCTTCACAGGGAGGTAGTATGAAGTAGCCCACTATCCTTTAGTGCTAGGTGTTGCAGCTATTACCAAGGGTTCTATTTCCACGTTACTTGGATTTTTGTGCATACTAAAGGAAAATATTTACAGCTGTTATCATAGGCATGTGAAGAAATCTTACGCTACTTTTCAAGACAAAATTTTCAGACAGCTAGACTCGGCATGACGATTCAGAGAAGGATGCTGGTACTGATGCCAAACTTGTGGTTTTCTCTAACTCGTTTTGCAGGACCTCCTTTTGCTGAATAGAAAGCCTTCACTTGAAATGCAATTACCCTAACGTAGAGAAAAGAACAGGCATAACCATGACAGATGAGAGGAAATTTCCTCAGATCATCCCTTCAACATCAACAGTGGCACATTTTCTGTACTTGCTTGATAAAAAGAAAGATTTAGGCTGGACCACTGTGTAAGTGCATAACGTAACAGCCCTATGGGCTTCAGCAGAGCTTTATCAGTAAACGTTAAGTCCTAAGAAAAGATAATTAAATAGAGGGCTAACTATAATCTCATAAGCAGTGCAAATTAGTACATTTTTATTGGAATCAGTGGTGCAATGTCAGTGGAGAATCTGACCTCTTGGGTGTACCCAAATGATGGGAACGTGGTAGCAAATTTCCTCCTAGAAACCACCTCACTTTTTGTTAACTCCTACATTCTTTCTGATTTCCTTTTTTAAATGTACTTTTTGTGATGCATCTTGGCTGGTCTCTGTCTGACATTCTCAGCATTTTTTGGATCTCTCTTGTACCTTTCCATTAATTCAGTTCTTTAGCTGCGTTGCCACCTTTTCATTTTTCCCTGTTTGTCTACCTCATCATCCTTTCTCTCCATTAAGCAATGCAAGATGTTGGGATTAAGTGAATTGAAATATTCTTGTAGAGTGGATTGACACATGCGCCTTTGTTCTGTGGAGCTTGTTTTCATTCTGTCATCCTTCCCCTGTGATTGCTTCCTGGGTCTTTGTGAAGTAATGGAGATGGTGGTTTACCTCAGACCTTCTGGCTACTGATGCCCAACTCTTTGATACATTGATTCTTAGCTTGGAAGAGGCATGCTGGCAGTGGTGGGCCGTTCCAGAAATCTGAAGCCAGCATGTTTGCTTTCTCCTTTTCCAGCTGGAGATACTATGAAGAAGTACTGATAGTGATAGTAATATTGTATTCTGAATATGAGTCAAGAAGACCGTGGAGATGGGAGAAGTCATTTCCCTTCATCTCTGTAAACAAGAAGATCTATCTAACTCAGAACTTCTGAAGGACAGAGAGGATCTGAGCTGGTGATTGCACTGTCTGAAGGTGCTGTGTTCACTGGTTCACACACAGCACTGTTAGTGGAGGTAGAGCTGCTGTCATTTGCCCCCATTCGTTCCTGGGGCCAGTACTGAAACTCATGTAGAGAAAGATGCGTACCAGACCTGTGCCTGCTTGTTCAAACACTCTGAGAGGTTGTAGGGGATGCACCTGTATCACACGTTATGTAAACCTGGAACAGCTGGTGTGTGTGGCAGAGAGGATTTGAAGCTTGGAGTTGCAGCTGAGCCCACTTGTTTTCAGCTGGTGTGCTTGGGCACAGAAGGAGCCAGAGGAGCAATGCAGTTCTCTTGACAGGCAGGAGACCACAAAGAGCACATGGAGGAAGGGAATTGCTAGTAAATAAAGGTTAGTTTTTGTGAAGTAAAGAAAGAAACAGAAGCAAAAGAGATCTAATTAAAGAGAAGAACAACTAGTGTGCACAAGAAGAGAAGTGTAGCTTGTGGTGATGGCTGAGAAGAGGAGCTTAAGAAGGAATGAAGAGGCAGAGAAGCTTGGATGATGAAGAGACTATGTACCCTGAGAAAGGAAAATTAGGTAAATAAGCATGTGATAATGGATAAACATCAGTGGGTAGATGCATGAGCAGATAGGAGAAAAAAAAATGCTGATGCTTGAAAGCGTGTTTGAGTGGATGGTATATTAGTCCTAAGATTGCGCCTAGTCGGTTTGGGATATGGAATGGGATCAGTAAGAGATGGCTGAAACATATCTATGTTAAATACTGTGGGTCTGGTTAACAAAATGTAGGCTCTTCCATTATTTTTTCTGTGTGTGGAAGTGAGTATCTTGGGATAGATGAAAGAATGGTGAAATAAGCATTACTGAATGTGTTCACATGCTTAGGAATGTAACTTTGTCCATATATGCAAAGATATTGTTGTATTTATATGGAGAAATTGGTAAGAGTAGCATGGATTAAAATAATGTATATTGTTCAAAATGATTTTGATTATGAGTGTCTAGCATTGAGGCTTCTCTATAGGCTTCAGGCTTACTTGGTGCACTGTGATGTCTTTGGTTTCTCTGGAAAGTTTTTAGTAACAAGGACTGTAGTACTTTAGATTTCAGTCATCTTTTGCATTGCTTGTTTTTGGTTCAGAAACCAGGAAGCTATAGAAGGGCTAAGTGATCACAAATCGGTAATTTTTTAAAATGAAGCATCTTTGGGTTTTTTTGGTCTTGTGGTTTGTGTTTTTATTATTTATCCATATATTTTGGGTGACGAAAAATCACTCTCATGTGAGTGCAGCATGCTGTATCAAAGGAGTGGTTTGCTATGCATTTGTGATATTTTGCATTGTGATTTCTTCTAATTCTTCTTAAGAGGTTTCTATTCTTTTTCTACTCTGTTTTCTTGTTCCTTGAGGAACTGCTTTAATATGATATATGACCCGAAGTGAGCCCTAGATAGAGTGACGCTGACTGCTCTCCACTAACATCTTCATTTCTCATGAGCTGTTAACATGGACTGTGACAGCAATATCTGTCACAGTGGACTGGTATGCTTTTGGCAGCTATTGCTGGTGGCTGCCATGGCTTGGATCAAGTTCTTGTTCTGCTGTCTTTCTGCATCTGTGTCTATTGTGCATGTGTCTTCTGCATACTTGAGTGATAGTCAAACCACTCGTTAACATGTGAAGAGTTATGGCAAGGGGAGGACGTTTCGTGGGGGCATCCAACTTTTTGGGGTTTTCCTGAGCTCTGCTCATAGTTGCATCACTTGTAGCATTATTAAATGCTCACGTTGATTCATCAGAATAGATCTTGCTGTGAGTGCTTGGTGTTCTGTGGTCTGTTTGGTTTCCACAGCAGAAGACAATTCTGAAGGTAAGCAGGGAATGTGTGCCAAGAACCTAGCTTGATCCATGTTGATCACTGATAGACTGCATGGATGCTGTGTAGTCTTCCCACTACGCTTAAAGCTGTTGTGATTCCTGGTTTAGCTTTGAGTGAGAGGATGTTCAACAGTATGCACTGAGCACCAAATAGGGCAGGACCGACTGGCTTTAAATACACAACAAGCTCTCCTGTACAAAAAATGGAATAGACACATCAGAAAACATATAACTCTACAAGCTTGTTCAGATAACAGCTGTGACTGAATGCTAGCAGTTGGGGAAAAAAAAGGGGGGAGTGGGGGGATATGTGTGCTTATACAAAGGACAGCAAAAACAATACTATCAGTAGGTTTGCTAACTGTCCTCCTGGTGCTGAGGTTCTGTTAGTAAAGATACTTTGTATCTTTAAATCAACAGGGATTTGAATATAAAGTTCCAGAACAGACTGTGTTTTGCTGCCAAAACACTGAAATGTGGAATCTGCTCCTGCCAGTTTCTTAAAACATACAGTATTTCTTCCTGTGTCTTTATACTCTCACTAACTGTCATGATATGGGCTCATATTCAACCTGAAATAGTTTGGCAGGTCTGGACTCTGGCTTTTTGCTCACTCTCAGGTTATAGTGATGTTGCTTAGAGCAAGTGCTATGTCTATTAAGTCATCTACTCTCTTCTTCAAATCTATCTGTAGTTGTGATAAGAGATGCTTTTGAGTTCCTGTTCAATAAGGCTCTTCAGTCATAGTGATGCATGGGGCAGCACTGAAAGAGTTAAGCAGCCAAGATCTGAATTCTAGGCTGTTCTAAGTCACGGATTCTAGGCTACTAAAAATGGGAATTGTTCTGAGTAATCTGATAATGTTCTCTTCATTTGTGTTTCTTTGTCTCAGGGCGTTGTCACTTCATATCTGTCTGGAAGTGAGGTAGTGGAAGGACTTCTGGAAGTATTCAAAACTTTTCCTTTATTCTTTATCCTACATCTTTGGCTCATGTGGATATATGCTCAAATGCCCAACCCTTCAGCAATGCAATGGGTGCTGTTCTCCTTTTCCCCTCCTCCCACTGAAAGAGCTGGAGCACCTAAGGCTGGGAATTGATATGTTATTCAACTTTCTCTTTAGTCACATGCATCTGGGCTCTCAGAATAGGCTGGGCAGAACTGGCTGGTGCTCTTGGTACTAGAGAAACATTGTCACTGGGAAGGTGCGTGGTAAGTGCCACAGACATCTAGTAGATCAAATGATTCTTACAGCATTCTCTTAAGAAACACTTGTAACTCAATTCAGAGGACTGTGTTTCTTGGAGCCAACCCATAGCTCTTCTGATCCAATGATTGTCTTAAACTTTAAAAGCTTTCACATTCCACCTGTATGTGGGTTGAGAGTTTGTTAACCATCTTTGGTTTGTGCACAGTCAAAATTCTCTTTAGCCTCTCTCTGAAACTAACTCTATCCAAAACACTTCATGTGTATTCCCTGTATCCTCGGTCTTCATAACGCTCAAAGGCTGCAGGATGCAAAAGGCTGACCCGTGTCTTGGAAGCATACTTGTTAGACTGGAACCCTGATTTTTTTTTTTCTTTTTTTTCCCCTCCCTTAGATCAATTTTGCATGGAAGCCTCTCACCATGGGTTTATTTTGGAGGGCTGTATCTCCTGATCACATCACTGCTCTTGCATTGCTACCAATTTCTTCAGCTCCTTGTGGAGTGTTTCCAGGATACATAATGAGATTTTGGTGGTGTTATCTGATGGTGCAACTGGAGTGCAGTTAAGTTTTTTTGTAGAAGGGGAAATACAAGAAGAGTGGTCTGATTTACAGGTGCTTTTGGCTCTTCTGCACGTTCATTTTGAGGGCAGTTGGAGTTTCTGCATCTGAACACTTCATTACTTGCCAGATGAGAAAATGTAACAACTGCAGCTGTGGGGCTGTACGCTCTTATTGAAGCCCCTTTACTTACAGCCCTCTTTAGCTTTGTGCTAGGAGCTCTAACGTTTTCCTGGCCTGCCTGGCTCCCTTGCTTTATGGGACTGAGAAACAAATTCTGCCACTGAAGCTACATCTCAGCTTGCTGCAAACCTGAGCTTTTCTTAGCTGTGCTAGATGAAGGAAAAGGCAGTGTACAACCTGCCAAAAGACAGTTTGAACCCTCTTGAAAGTTTTGACTGTTTCCCATCACCCAGGAAAACATACAGTATGGAGAGACAAGGGGAAGACATGGATCTCGTAAGATAGATCTCCCCTTTGGCTTGGATTATAATAACAAAATGTCTGAGTCACCACATGGTACATTGATATGAAGCAACTGCCTGCAGAAAAACCAAAGCCATGCATTTTTCTGAAAAACGAGGGGGGAAGAAGAAGAAGAAAAAATATTTATTTTCATTCTTTTGGCTAGCCTAATTTTCTTCTATTTCTCATTAACCTTTAGAAAATAAAGCTAGCTTTCCTGAGGGAAAATAGCACTTCTTTGCCTCAACCCACTAGAGCTGTCCTTCAGCAGCCAAATTTAGCTAAAGGCATGCAGTGGTTTCTTGGCCTACTGAGTTGAATCTAACTTCTGGTCTGCAGGGGACCTGCCTTTAAGTCCCATAAAAGCTATTGCTGAGATTATGGAAAATTGTCTATCGTTTGGGCCGGATGCAAAGCCCCCTGGAGGCCACTGGAAATGCCGATGAACTGTGGTATAACTCCCTTGTTCATACTGATGAGATCTCAAGACCATGAAGAGATACTATATCCCTTTAAAAACACAAAGCATGGAGTTCCTCTCTAACCTCAGCCTTTGAAGTTGTTTATCTAAGTTCTCTATTCCCTAAGGAGAAGGGCCTGGGTACCTCCAAAGATTCATTAGCTCCAACTTGCATCAAGTGTCCAAGATAACTTCCTTCTATAGGACTTCAATTTTTCCAGAGGTTATAACGGGAGTCTAGCTGACTAGCATAGATGTATAGTTGTGTCAGCTGGAGATATGCATCAGGAATGCCTTACAAATATGGGGACTTCTCTAAGTGGTTTCTCTTGTATTTTACAGATCACAGGTCTCTTTATCTTGTATGTTGATAAAAGAATATGGATTTTGAAACTCTGGTTCCTTTATCTCCAGCTAACCACAGGTTTGTGTAATGCATAGCTGGATTTCCATCTTGGGTGATGCAAACTTAGTGGATCAATGCCAGCTGCTCACACTGGGGCTTCAAGTAGGCTTAAAGCTTTGAAGGAGCCCATGAGAAATATGAAGTATAACTGATATTGTATAAAGAATTATATATGTCTATATGTTCTGCTCCAGATTGCCTGTTTAGAGAATTTCTTTTCTCATCGGAGCAAAGGACTGTGCACTTTGACACACGTGCAACCTGGAAAATTGGGAACGTGTCATGAAGGTGTATCAAAATAGCTCTTTAGATAAATGATTAGGTACTGTTACTAAGCAACTATCTTGGATTGATAAAAATTTAGTGGACCACTTTTGTGGAGTCCCTGGAGGAGGCAGTCTAGAAACAAACTGTGACCTCTGTTAGTTTCAAATCTGACCTTATCTAGTGGCACTCAGTGCTACTAAAATATATGGCCCGTGCACTTGTAGTACTTAATCCTTTAGACATGTATCTAAATAAATATTTGTGTGATATTTTAGGAATGGTCTACATGGCCAAGCAGAAGACTTAAAGAAACTTTTGGGCTAGTCTATGCAC